GGACAATGTCGTCTGCGAATCGTAGGTTAGATAGCTTCTTTCCGTCGACGTTGATGCCTTTATCGTCCCAGTCGAGTTGCAGCATCGCGTGGTTGAGTGCGGTGGTGAACAGCTTGGGAGAGATCGTATCACCTTGTCTGACTCCTTTTTCGATCGGCACTCGTAGCTCGTTGAAAAATGCGGATGGTGGTAGATGTGTCCATGGTGCATTTTTCCAGCAGGTTTATGTAGCACGGGTCGACACCAGCATGGTGCAGCGCATTCCAAATAGAGTTCAGTTCCACACTGTCGAATGCTTTCGTATAGTCGATGAAGCAGAGGAGGAGGAGCGGCTGCTTGTATTCCTTGGTTCGCTCAATCAACTGCGTGACAGTATGGATGTGGTCCATGCAACAGAAGCCCTTGCGAAACCCGGCCTGTTCCACTGGTTGATAGTCATCCAGTTGTTCTCGAGCCTGTTGAGGATTACCTTCGTGAACAACTTGTATGGCTGCGAGAGGAGGGCGATGGGGCGGTAGTTCTTCATTAGGTCGCGCTCGCCCTTCTTGAACAGAAGAACCGTGCTTGACGTCTTCCACTGGTCCGGGACCTCTTGCGCGTCCATGTACCTGTTATAGCGCCTGGTGAGCTGTTTTATGACGGTGCGGGACGCCGACTTCAGAAAGTCTACTGAGATGCGGTCAGGTCCTGGTGCCTTCCCCGGCTTCATTTGACGCAAGGCGTGTTCCACCTCCCACTCTTCTATCTGTGGGCCGCGTCCTGCGTAGGTGTAGGTATGCGTGGAACCGGCATCGTTGATCGGTAGAGATCCGTGTAGAAATTGACGGCGATCTCTTCAATCCTCGCTCTCGATGTCTGCGGTCTGCCCATCGCGTCTCGCATAACCGTGGTGACCGAGCGAGAGTCGTTGATGTCTCGACGACATCGTTTGAGACTCGCTCTCGCTTCCGCCGCTTCCTTCAGTCGAGTATTCTTGTAACGCTGAATCGACTCCTTCACTGCGATGCGGCACGCTTTGTTGATCACGGCGCGCTCCAATGGTGTTGATGCAGGGTTACGATGGACGACAGCGCGTTGCTGCAGAAGTGCGCGAGCCTTGTCGTCAATCCTGCCTTTCGAATCCGTCCTTGTTGTGATAGCCGATGCCATAGCGCAATGTAGAAGTCCTTCTATGAGCATGGTATAGTCTTGCGACAAGTCTTGCGCCTCCTGCCACGTGTAGTGAGCGGCGGCCGCCTCCATGACGTTTGTGTCGTAATGTGGCAGCCGTATGGGAGGAGGTCGGAAGAAGTCGCGTCTTCGGATTCTCGCTCGGAGACGAATTTTTGCTCTGACCAGCCTATGGTCGCTCCCAGTGCGGAATGCATCCACCACGCTGACGTCGAGCAGACTCCACTTCCTGTTAGTGAGAACGTGGTCGATTTCGCTGTGAGTCGTGGCATTCGGACTCTCCCACGTCCATCGCCGATCCTCTTTTTTCGTGAAGAAGCTGTTTCCGTGAAAGAGATCGCATTCGCTCTAAGAGATCCACTCGTTTGTTTCTCTGGTTCCGTGGGGGCCTAAAGCGCTGTCGCTGGCATTTCCTCATGGATGACTGCGTTAAAGTCTCCGACAACATATTTGTAGTAGGACCGTTCCCTTTTTATCATCTCCTCCAATTCCTTGTAGAACGCGTCCTTTTCTTCGTCCGTAGCTGCTGACGTCGGTGCATAGCAGTTGATAATACTAACGAAAGTGCGCTTGTCGATGCGTAGACGTAGGATGGCCAGTCGCGGGCCGATCACTTCGACTGAATCGACCATGTGCTCGAGCCGATGGTGGACGAGGAATCCAACACCACCGACATTTCTTCCGCTCAGTTTGGCTCCGAGAACAATTAGGTGGCCATCGTTGGTCTTCCTGGTAGCTGTTTCTTTTGCTTTTGTTTCCTGGAGCGATGACATTGAAACGAAGTCTTTTACTAGCCTACATTAATA